AGCTTTGGGGATGAAATTGGAAGGAGCAGCAGTGGAGCCAGTAGTGGTGGAAGTGGAGGTATGCTGCTGATGGGCTCCTATGATAGTAGCGGTCACAGTCGAGAACCACTGCAAAAAAGTATGACAGAGGTGAAAAACAGCACCTTGGTTTCTTCCCGTGATCAAGGCAGCTCTTTTACCAGTCATGGCTCAATGCGAAGTAGTGGTCCAGCTAAACAACTGCCAGCACAACCAAACCAGTCATCTCAAGAAATCTTCAAAGGTTTCTCTCTGCCAAAGACAGACACAGACTTAAGACCTCTTAAAGCAGAAGTCACTAAAACCCTTCCGTTGAAAAATCCAGAGCCAGATCGCCAGTCAGCGTCAAAAAGCCAACTAACTCCTAATATAGTTCGTAGTGTGCATCCCAGCCGACCAGGCCTTGTACTCATTGGCAGCAGCAGCAGCGACAGTCACATCAAAGAAAAGAGTAAGACTCACGGGCAAGTATCAAATGTTTCTGAGCAGATGAACAAACAGCAAATGCAGCAGAAGCAGGTACAACAGCAACAAGTGAAACAGACAATGCAACAACCACCACCAAAGCAGCAGCAGCAGCAGATGCAGCAACAGTTGAAGCAACAACAGTCAAAGCAGCAGACGGAGCAGCAGACGGAGCAGCAGAAGACGGAGCAGCAGCAAATAAAGCAGCAGAAGACGGAGCAGCAGCAAATAAAGCAGCAGCAGATGCAACAGCAGCAACTGAAGCAGCAGCAGACGCAACAGCAGCAACTGAAGCAGCAGCAGACACAGCAGCAACAGCAACAGCAGCAACTGAAGCAGCAGCAGATGGCCCAGGTACCTAACCTGCCGATTGGGTTGCAGCAGATGCAGAATCAGCCAGCTGTGCATATGGGACAAGCTTTGCAGTCTCAAGTTTTTTCGGCTGCAAAGCCAGTTCCACAGCCGTCCCTCATGCCAGGGCTCATGATGCCCGTTCCTCCGGGTCTCTCGCCGGTAATGCAGAACTTCATGAATTTCATTCATATACCGCAGCCCGCTTCCACCAAGCAGCTTCCAGCAAAGGTCGAAGTGACAGGGAATATCCCAGTGCTGGCCCAGATGCAAGACTACACTGCCGCTTCACCTAGGGTCTTTCCTCATACCTGCTCTCTATGTAACAAGGAATGTAATCAGATGAAGGTAAGTGGAAGATTGTTCGATGTTTTTGCTTTCTGTCAGTTTTTATTTATTTGACATGCAATGTTTTTTGTTTTTTATTTGATTTTGGATCCCATTATAGGACTTTGGTTTGTGAAAAACTTCATGTATGTTTAAAGTTTATTTGTTTGTTTTGTTCACTATTCCTGCATGATGGTGACTGTAGGAAGACTACCAACTTGGAATACAAACATTTGGACAAATTTTTCACATATTTCTGCAATTCAGTATTCTGTA